TCCCGTTGCCGGTCCCCGGTACGGGCGCGACACCAAGGGTTGCGATCCCGTTACCGGTCAGTAAAAAAAGACAAAAAGGAAAAAAATAAAATAAAATATTTAGTTTTACTTTTATGCGATTCTCCTTTTCAGTCTGTAACTTCAGAGGTCCCAAAACCAAACTACTAACTAATCTAAATATGTGAATATGGAAGACACAAATATTTCTATATTTTCAGCACTCTTATCACAACTAAAACCCAAAGGAAAGCCTATAAAAAAATCTAAGATGGAAACTTCAGATTTTAAAAGCCATAGGAGAATATGTGGGAACAGACAGAGCCCAAACCCTCTGGTTTACAAAAACAATGTACAGGAATGGATGAGAGGCTCATTGGCCTCATGAATAATATCATCTTCTGTATTAAGAAAAACACAAAGTGAGGAGACTTAAAATGAAAGGGAAGAAAACTACTCAATTCATTAAAAATATTTAAAATCTTCATTAATGAGACAGTATAAAGATTTACCACTAAATCCCATCAAAGTAACATCAGTGACAAATTAACAACATATACCACAACTTCTTGAAAACTGACATTCATAATCTAATTGCAGGAGAATAAAAACTATTGATAATAAGATAAAATAAAGATTTAATTATTTTTCAGCTGATAACACTTACCTTCTGTCTTTCCATTTTTCAACATATGTACAAGCCCAGAATTCTCCATTTCTACTATAGTCTTCATGTGCTTAGAAATGAGTTCCCTCTCAACCACCTTTACAATGGGCTCTTCAGTTGATTTGTCAAGGCAGTGCATCACCCGCTCTATTTCTTCATTAATTCTAGCTTCTACTTTCTTTATATATACTGAAGCACTGTTTTCTGCTAAAAATTTCTGGCTTTCCATCTGCAATTAAGAAGCGTTGATTTTTTTAACACAGAATAAAAATGTGTTTCTGTGTTTAACTGGGCTTCTACAGTGTTCATCATAAATTAGCCCAAAAACCTAAGGACTATTAACATTTTATAGAATTTCTCATTGCACGGATTCATATAGTCTGAATTATATCCTTTAAAGTATTTATTCACATACGACTAAACTAACACATTATCAGTAAGCAGTGTTTTTTAAACTTTTCCAATGTACTCCCTATAGCAGAAAAAGTAAATACATGGACAGTGACAGTCAAAAGTACAGAACAGAACCATCTGACCTCAAATGAGAGTGAGAAATTCTTTGATTTGTTTTAATGTAAAATTATAACTAGAAAGATTCATCATGTTTATCGTAAGTTTTGCTGGCATACTACTGGTTACTAAAGTCTTCCTACAACTCCACTCCCAATCTCATAGTATATATACTAAAGTTTGAGAAACAAAGCATTTAAATAACTATTAATCATGTCTGCTAACAACAGCCTTACAGAAGTTTCTCTAAACTATAAATGTTACCCCAACTGATTTTAACCTATTTGATAGCAGCATTAACGAATACACTTAAGAATTCTATAATAGAAGACACGAACAAAATTTAATAAATAAATTTCCCGCTTTCTTAACAAAAAGTAGCTTTAGGGCCAGCCCGTGGCTCACTTGGGAGAGTGTGGTGCTGATAACACCAAGGCCATGGGTTCGGATCGCTGTATAGGGATGGCCGGTTGGCTCACTTGGGGGAGCATGGTGCTGACACCACCAAGTCAAGGGTTAGGATCCCCTTACCAGTCATCTTTTTTTTTTTTTTAAGTAGCTTTAATACTTGAAAATAATCAAGTTCCTAAGAAAAGACATTAACAAACTAAATAAAAATCTTGCTGAGACCATTTATCCATTCACTATTAAAAATAGTATGCATATGTATTACACACACATACACATATGTCATTGTAGCAAATTCTGGAATCTTAATTTACAAACAATGTATCTACTATTAGTATATATATATATATATAGTGTAATAAAGATCAAAGATATTGTTTAAAGTATCTGGAGGCTGACATATTATTAGAAAATAAAGACTGTTTCCCACATTATAAATTCATAAAGCATGGTCCAGGCTCACCAGTGCAGGCTACAAGGGTCTTCCTGATGGACCACAAACTGATTTTGGGGAAAAAAAAAAAAAACACAAAAAAGCACCAAGTCCATTCTTTGTCTCTTTATTGGAAGACACCAAAATTCACCAAGTTCCATTTATATATACATCCAAATGTATGTATATATACATTTATATATACATAGTATGAATGACCTACTAAATTATTAAGAGTTATTATAAATTTGTAGTTCTTTTTTAAAAAAAGCATATTAGTGGAGTTAAATTAGTATTCTACTAAGACATCTGTTTTGGCAATACTACAAAACTACTTCAAATCACTCAGACAGTTGCAGTTTTCAGGAAGGATGCCTGATTATCATTAGCTTATAAGTACTGTCTTACATTAGTCTGTACCAAGTTAGCGTTATTACCATCATTTCTTTACAAATTAGTAGTTGTTCAGCTTCCCTTTTAGCAATTTAGTCGATTTGGGGTTGTATATATTGCTCCAAATTTGTACCAATAGTACTTATTGGCCTATACTTTCCTAATCAACAAAACTTTAAGGTAAATACGCACTATTAAGTCATGCATATCCATGTTTTTGGTACTAGTAATTTATATTACTAAAAGTCCGTACAGTGAGAATTCATTGGTGACATGCTACCTGTGAATTTATGGTACTTAGATAACTTGTAACATATAAGTATAATAAAATGTTAAGGGTATTTCTAAACTTTATGCTTTATAACATACAATAAAAAAAATGTGTGTAAGTTCAAACTCCTCTATTTGCTATCAATGAGTTCCTTCACTGCAATGTGAGAATGTGGGGTAGGTGTACTGACGGATATTTTTTTCACCCTCCCCCCGGCAATGGACCTCCATCAAAAAGGTTAAAATGTTCAAATTAGTAATTACATTCAATAACATTAAGAACATCCTAAAAGAGCGTTTATTTACATCTTCACTGATTACCTGAAAAAATTCTGCAGACATTTCCAAAAAAGGAGCCTCAAAATCTTCTTCATAGACTGATCTTCCTTCAAGACCTAAAATCATTAACATCTGGCAAGCATTTCGTATTGCGCCTCTGTCAAAAGAAATTAAATCACTTGATAATTAAATTACATTGAAGATACATGCAAAAAATGCAAAGGAAGTAGGTAGAAATACCTTTAAAACATTTAACTTTTATCAAAGTAACCAATCTCCAGTAAGCAACTCATTTATAACATAAGAATTGAGAGTAATTTTAATTGGAAAGCATATCTTGACTGCACAACTATTTATCTCAGTTGTTCTTACTCTGTTATAAAGGTTTTTTTACAGAAAATATTTAAGATGTCTAAATATTTCTATGTATTTATAAACACAAAGAGGCTATTTTTCTGGAAGCAGGGAGGAGGGAAGGGAGAATAGGGAAGAAGGGATGGAGGAAGGCAGGGAGGGAAAGCAGGAAGGAAGGAGCGGAGGGAGGGAGGTAGGATGGCAGGGGGTAGGTTAGGTTGTACTGCTGGACATGGGTATAACAACATACAGCTATTCCTAGGCAAAATAATTTTTTGCACTATGTAAATTCTGGGCAATCCTAATCAACCTTCAAAGCTGAAATAATAAGAATTTTACAAGTCTTCATCCAACAGCTGCTCTGAAAACAGAGAAGCAGAGAAAGCAATTTTACATGTTTCAATCCACTCTAGTGCGGCATCACAAAAATGGCATTCCCATCTTGTTAAGAAAGGGGGGGCGGAATATGACTTTGAAGGAGTACAGTAGTTCTTAGTCATTTTAGACTATTTTCAACATTTTTCTTAAAAAACATTAAGAACAAAGGCTAGGCAAAAACTTAAAGAAAAAGACCAAGAGAAGAAATATGTTATTACACACACGTGCCAGCATGAAAAATTCTAGGTAACTTAGTTAACTAGGGTATAAGGTTTTTGAAGATTTTCACAATGTGCTAGACATTCAAACTTTACTTTAATAAAACTGTGACAGTGAATCAGTTCTCAAGATATAACCACTAAAATTAAAACCTCAAGAATAAACAGATAAGTTATACCTGTCTACAACTTCTCCTTTCCGCTCTCTTGCAATCATATCCAATAGAGTTTGCCGTAGATGATCCCTAATACACCCATAACGTACAACTTGATCTCGAAAAATAATTAATCCCAAATTGTAGACATTCTCCACATTATTTTGTTGTACATATACACGGTCCTGCAGTTAAAACAAGATCATATAAACATGGATATAATTCTTGCAAATATAAAAATAACTATTGTGAGCTACAATAACAAAGAAAATAAAATTCCAAAAGCAGTTATTTTTCAGGTGAGAAACACTTCAAACTATCTTAAGCAGCATGGAATTTTCTAGTACCTCCCAAGTTATTTAAAAGTAAGTCTTTATAATTACAGTGGTTACTGAAACAAATAAGGGCTATTGACGGTGCCCATTTACCCTAAGAAAAAGAGAAAAAGGCAAGTATCATACCTAGGGAAAGGAGAGTAGGCAGAAAGCAGAGGAAAAAAAAGGAAGCAGCAACGTAGGTAGACCACACTAGTACAGTACTTTTTCCCTAAAGCTATACCATGCCAAACCAAGTTCTTTCTTAAATTCTGAAGGTGAAGATCACATTCTTTGAGAGCTGAATGAAATACAGATCCACATGACTTAAGGTGATTGTTACTCGTAAATATTAACAGGCTCTAATGCATATAATAGAGCAGCACTAAATATTATATAATTAAAACACCTGTAGTTATTACTGTCACTTCAAACAGATTACTTACTGGTAATCATCTCACTTGCAAATTTACATGACTTAAGGTGATTGTTACTCGTAAATATTAACAGGCTCTAATGCATATAATAGAGCAGCACTAAATATTATATAATTAAAACCCCTGTAGTTATTACTGTCACTTCAAACAGATTACTTACTGGTAATCATCTCACTTGCAAATTCTTACCAACATGACTATAGGTCACTTTAAAGAGCACAAATAAAATTACTAGCTACAGAAGTCCTATTTTGTGCACTATTTGAAAATCCATATTTACACTAAAACACACTGAAATGAAACGACTGTTTTTGATGCACAAAATAATTAACAATATAATTCCCTTCTGTTCTTAACAAGGATCCCTTTGAGATCTGGTAGATCTACGAACCTCCTAAGCTTATGAAATTATTGTGTTTGTCTGCAACTAAGTACTTTGAAAAAAGAATCCACAGCTTTCACCAGACTCTCAAAGGTATTTGTAGTTAAAAAAAAAAAAAGTTAAGAAGCACTACAAACTGATCTTTGAACTTTTTGAAACTCTGCATAATATATAAACTTAAATCATCACAAGCAACACCAAACAGACTATAAGGTGAACATGAACAGAGCTCTACCATACTAACAATGTATCAAACTTAAAATTCTCTGTGTGTAGTAGCCCTGGTTTTCTTCCTCCAATTTTCTCTTTTCATTCATTTTATACAAAGGCACATACCTAATAGCCACAAGGAAAGCCACTCTTTTATTAGCATCTTCAGTGCTTGTATTTCTACATTCTACATAATCTAAGCACAAATTCACATTTTTCAAATCGTGACATCAAATTTAGGGAGTTCAAAATTCTCACTGATGACTTCTCCAATAAGTCAGTCCCTGGACTTTACACTTCCATCTACAAGATCTTAAATTCTAAGTTTTCCTCTTACCACATCCCTCCTTCCTTTTGATGATTCCCATTCTACCTGAACCTCTTCTTTGCTTTCATTGTGACCTCCAGGCCCAACCCTTTCCTACTGCCAGCCTGTTTTTGTCTTATATTTCAGCATAAGACAAGATGTGTGCAATACAAATTGGCATAAATCTAGTAATTTAAAAAGAAATGAGAATCCTTTTTATTATGAACATAATCACTCTTATTATTGCTTAAATAAACTATTTTATAAATTTGATTTTTAAAGTTCTGAATATAAACTTCTGTGGTACAGAAAAACACCATATATGTGAGAATCTCTCTTACCCAATGTGATCAATACCAGTATCTGGCTGATTAACTAAAGGCAGTTGTAAAATAGTGAAACTATTAAGCATACACCTGCATCTTAAACATTTTAATATAAAACGTATAAATGCTCATTCAGATATTAAGACTTTCTTTGAATGTGAGTTCTGTGATTGAAGTTTAACACAGTCTTTCTTACACATACTCACATATAATAAACTAACATTTCTAGTTTCACTTTCATTAATGTGGAGAATGAACTAGCAACATTCGTGAAGTGATCTGAATGGAAAATCCTTCTAGATTTTTACAATTTCCACTCCAATGTTTTAAATTACCACACTTAATTTGAACCAATATGTAGCCATTAATTTTAATCAAGTCTTTCCAAAGCATTCAATCTAGTTTACCAAAGAAAATTGTTTTTCACACCACTTTATCAATTTACAAAATCTTAAATTATGTAATAACAACAAGAAGTACAACTGGCATAAGCAGATTTGAAAACAAATACAACTGACTTTTGGTAAGGGCAAAGCTCAATTGCTAAAAGCAGACTAGAGAAAATTATACTGGAAAGTAGCCTAATAGCCATGAGAGAACTTTGTCATCAGTCAGGATGTTTTACGGCTAGGATAGAAAGCACTGATAATTCTGGCAAGTCCTTTAAGTTTCAACTGTACAAAACTATGTGACATTAAGCAAATTTCAAAGGGGAAAAAAAAGTGTGTGTGTGTGTGTGTGTGTGTGTGTGTGGTGTGTGTGTGTGTGTGTGTGTAAAATGAGCAAGTTTAACATATGTCTGCTAAGACGACTAATCCCTTTCTTAAGAAATCAAATACCAAACGTTCTTAATTTAGACTATGAGAAATGTCAAATAATTATTAGGTCATATTATATTGTTTTTGGTGAAAAGGCATTATGTACAAGAATTACAGAACCAAACATGTATACAATGTAACCTTCAAAGAAAATTAGAGTGTTAGAGTGATATTTAACATTTTTAATTTTTGCTTTATTGCAGTATAATATATATGCCATAAAATTCGCCCATTTTAAGAGTATATAGTTCAATACTTTGTAGGAGATTTCTATAGTTGTGCGACCATTGCCATAATCCAGTTCTAGAATATTTCCATTACCCAAAAAAACCCCGCAAGCCTATCTGCAGTCAGTATCACTCCCATTCCCAGTACCCATGCTTTCTGGGAAGTAGCCTCACAGCATTGTCTCTATACATTTCCTTTTCTGTCTCTATACGTTTCCTTTTCTGGATGTTTCAAATAATATATAACCTTTTGTGCCTGATTTCTTCCACTAAGCATAAAGTTTCTAAGGTTTATCAATGTAACATATATCAGTATTTCATTCTTTTTAGTGCTAAAACAGTATTCTGTTGCACAGATACACAACACTTTGCTTATCTATTCATCAGCTGATGGATACTTGGGGTTATTTCTATTTTTGTCTATTATGAATAATGTGGCTATGAACATCTGGGTACAATTTTTTTGTGAATATATGCTTTCATTTTTCTTGGGTGAATCCTAGGAGTGAAATTACTGGGCCATATAAAAATTACCAAACTGTTTACTGAAGTGGTTATATCAGTTACAGTATATTTTTTATTATTATTTTTATAATGGACATAATTGTACATATTTATGGGGTACAGTGTGAGGTACACTTGTATAAAATGTATAATGATAAAATAAAGGCAATTAGCATGTCCATCACCATATTTATCATTTCCTTGCATTGGAAACATTCAAAATTCTCTCCTCTAGCTATCTAAAAATATACAATAACTTATTACCTATAGTCACCCTACAATGCTACAGAACACTTGAATTATTCCTATCAATAATTTTGTATCCATTTACAAACCTATCCCTATCCCTGCCTTCCCCCTACCCTTCCCAGCCTCTAGTAACCATTATTCTACTCTCTACTTCTGAGATCAACTTTTTTAGCTTCCATATATGAGTGAGAACATGTGGTATGTCTTTCTGTGCTTGGCTTATTTCAATAACAAAATGTCCCCTGGGATCACCATGTTGCCACAAATAACATGATTTCATTCTGTTTTTTTAAGGTTGAATAGTGTTCCACTGTGTGTGTGTATTATATGTCACATTTTCATCATCCATTCATCTGTTGATGGACACAGGGTGATTCCATCTTGTGGCTATTGGTAACAGTGCTGCAATAAACATGGAAGTGCACATATCTATTTGATATAGTGATTTCCTTTTCTTTGGATCTATATCCAGTAATAGCATTTCTGGATCATATGATAATTCTATTTGTAGTTTTGGGGGACCCTCCACCCACTGTTTCATAATGGCTACACTCATTTACATTCCCACCAATAGTACATAAGATTTCCCCCTTTCTCTGCATCCTCACCAGCATTCATTATTTTTTGTCTTTTTGATAATAGTCATTCTAACTGGTGAAATGACATCAGGAAATGTGCATTTCCCTGATGATGAGTGATATCAAGCATTTCTTCACATACTTGTAGGCCATTTGTATTGTCCTCTTTTGAGAAATGTTTATTCCAATCATTTGCCCATTTTTAACAGGATTACTTGGGTTTTCTTTCTTTCTTTCCTTTTTTTTTACTGTCGAGTTGAGTTCTTTGTATATTCTGGATAGTAATCCCTTGTTGAATGCATAGTTTGCAAATATTTTCTCCCATTCTGCAGGTTGTCTCTTTATTCTGTTGACTGCTTCCCTTCCTATGCAAAAGATTTTTAGTTTGATATAATCTCATTTGTCTATTTTTGCTTTTGTTACCTGTGCTTTTGAGGTCTTATCCATAAAATCTTTGCCCAGACCAATGTCCTGAAGCATTTCCTCATCTCACGTTTAAGTCTTTAATCTACTTTGAGTTGATTTTTGTATATGGTGAGAGACAGGGTTCTAGTTTCATTCTGCATATAGATATCCAGATTTCTCAGCACCACTGACTGAAGAGACAGTCCTTTCCCCAATGTATGTTCTTGGTGCCTTTGTCGAAAATCAGTTGGCAGTAAATATGTGGATTTCCGAGTTCTCTGTTCTGTTCCATTGGTCTATGTGTCTGTTTTTATGCCAGTACCATGCTATTTTGGTCTGAAGTATATTCTGGTGTCAGGTAGTGTGATATCTCCAACTTTGTTCTTTTTGCTCAGGACTGCTTTGGCTATTCGGGGTTTTTTGTGGTT